ATTTGCAAACAAAGTGAATAAAAACATACCTATAAAACATCAAAAACATATAAATTAAACACAAATATCAACATACAACTTCATTCCCCCATCACCTTCTTCGCTAAACTATTAGGTTTATTGCATGACACTTGCAGGAATGGGAACAGAACGGCACAGAATGGAACGGAAAAGGGTGAGAATGCATGTTACCACACAGGAGAACGCCGCTGAAGCGGTCGTGAGTCCCCAAGCTGTTCCCCAGCCATTCCTGGAAGCCAATTTTGAAGAATGGTTCAAAATAATTCTTCAAGATCAGCTGCCATAGCAGGGACAGGGAATGGCTTGGGGATCCCCAGTGGCACCAGTGGCGTTCTCCTGTGCGTTAACACCTGTTCGCACCCGTTCCATGCCAATCCCAGACCATGCCCAGATTGGTCTGGAAATACTGTACGATAAACTTATATCTATTGGATTAATTTCTTATCAGCTACCTTCTAGCTGTTCTTCCCTCTCCCACTCATTTTCTTTGACCTTCCTACCAAACCAATACTCCGTAATGTTCTATTTGAATTTTTGGCCACACACATGGAAGAGGAAGAGAAACAGGAGGAGGAGGAGGAGGCAACAGAGGTGGCTATGACTTGCCTGACAGAGATGTCTATTTCAGGAAATAGTGGCATCTGGTGTGGAAGAAGCACTGGAACACCACAGTCATGTCCTCATCCTTGGGGCACTGGCAGACCTCCTCTGAACAAGTGGCATCAGCTGGTGTGGTAACTCATGGCTTAGGGCACGGTGGACTCTGATCTGTGGCATCACTAGGGGGTGCGGGGGATTCAGACTGCACCAGATGACACCCTAAGGGGGGTTACCCTACTGCTCCTCAAACATATGTACACTCGTTCCTCCACATTCGCTGGGGTTAGGGGCACAAGACCACAAATAACAAAAACACTATGTTTTTGCCTGAGAAAACACCTAGGAATCTCAAACCCCCTCTGCAGACCAGGGCGTTTGGGACGCCCTGGTCCGGAGCGCCGCGGGGCTATGGCAGCCCCACCGCGGCGCTCCTAGAGCGACCCTGAAAGGAGCGCCAAAAAGGCACTCCTTTCATAAGTCAGAGAAAGGGCGCCCTAAAAGCGGCGGGCGCCCTTTCTCTGACTTATCCCCCGCAGCGCGTCCGGACGCTGCGGGAGGAGGTCGCCCTGAACGCGCCGGACGTCCGGTGGCCCGGAAGCGTTCAGGGCGACCTCAGGAAGAGGAAGGGCTGCCGCGCATGCGGTGGCCCCTCCTCTTCCTGGCCTCGGAGACGGCTCAATTAAGCCGTCTGCCGAGGCCCTAGGTCTTCCAGTGCAACTCTGTGGTCAACATCTGCCAGCATTGACCATAGAATTGCGCTGGAAGAGCTACAAATGCCTTCTGGGAAGGCATGGATGTGAGAGCTGGACAGTTAAGAAGGATGATAGGAAGAAAATCAATGCATTTGAGATAATGTGATGCTGGAGAAGAGCGCTGAGGATCCCATGGACAGCCAAAAGGACAAACAAATGGGTCCTAGAGAAGATCAAGCCGGAAACCTCCCTAGAAGCCAAGATGACCAAACTGGGACTGTTGTACTTTGGGACACATCATGAGAAGAGAGGATTCTTTGGAAAAAACAATAATGCTGGGAAAGGTGGAGGGAGTAGGAAGAGAGGAAGGCCACATCCTAGATCAGGGGTAGGCAACCTTTCCCCTTTAAGAGCTGAGGGACTTCAGCTCCCAGAATCCCAGGAGCTATTGGCCAACATGG